GCTTAACTTCCCTAAAGGAACAGCCACAGCCTGAAGCAAACATCCTTTGGTGCAAGCCAGGTTTGACCAGCGAAGACGGCGGGAAGTTAGCCTCCTGTTAATGAAGGACAGAGCCCTTCACTCTTTGCTCCAGCTCACTGGTATCTTTCTGGGACCAAACGACCTGAAAATGACCTCTTTCTCCCCCAGCCCCCCCCCCACCCCTCTTTAAGACCCAAACTAAAGGAAGAGAGAAACTCAAAAAGCTTTCCCCCCCAGCAACTTTCACTCTTGTGCTATGAAGAACTGACTGGTGCCCAGTTAAAGTTGCCTGGTTCCTTTGGGGTTCACCTGGGTGTTAATCAAAAGGGCTGTGACTATGAAAGAAGGGGTGTCTTCCCTCTCTGGAGTGGCGCTCTAACAATTAGCTTGATAACAAAGCCAAAATGACAATCCAGAGAGAAAGAGTCACTGGGATGGGAGGATGTTTTGCTTGGCTTCAACCTACCACGGCAAAATCAGCTGGCCCAATTTGAAGTTTCCCAATTTCCTAGCACTAGTCTACATTCCAAAAGAACTCTGGTAGTATAAAAGATTACACATTGGGGTGCTAACCGTAAGTTAAGTGGTTCAAGCCTACCAGTGGCTCCTTGGGAGAAAGGTGAGGCTTTCTGCTCCATTAAAGATTTACTGCCTCAGAAAGCCTATGGAGCCACTTTATAGGGTTGCTGTGACTCAAGTCGACTCAATGGCACTGTGTTTGGTGTTGCTTGGTGCTACATTCCCGAAAAGTTCCAGGGGAAACAGATGTGGCACATGTGTGTTTGAGTTGAATCTGATGTCAGTGGAAAAGAAATTGACTAGGGATCATTTGAATTCCACCTTTGCTGTTTACCAGTTTTATCGTTTTCGGTAATCCCTTTCACAGATGAAGAAATTGAGACACACACAGATTCATGTTTTCCCAAGATAACACAGTTAATCCAAGGGAGGATCCAGGATTCAAACCCAGGCACCCTGGTGTCATACTCCCTGTACTTAGCCACTAGTTTACACTGCAAGCTTTTAGAAAAGGGATTTCTTAACAATTCTGTTACACTAATCACCATAGATTTAGCTGCTTGGTAACTGGATGTTGAGTCATAAAAATCACAGGTCTCTTAAGAAGGGGACATTAGCTCAACATCCAGAGATACACATATACTCCCTGCCTCTAGGCAAGGCCACCGTGAGTCAGCTCAGGCCCTGGAAAAGCCTCAGAAAACAAGCCCTAGTACTTCCTCTCAACGTTCATTCCAAAGCTTAGTCGTCAGAAAATTCTTAAACTGTACCTAATTGAAATCCTTTATGCTGCTGGGTATGTGCCACTCCTTGGGTTGACAAATCCCAAAGTTCCCGTTTCTCTGATTCAACTATTTAAACATCCATTAAGCATTCCCAAACCAACCAAACTCACTGCTATGAAGTTGATGGCAACTCATAGGGACTAGCCCTGTGAGTTTCTGACACTGTAACTGTTTAGAGATAAGAGACTTCCCAAGGCTTTAAGAATTATATCCTTGGAACTTTGGACCTCTACTTAAATCTTATCTCAGTACAAGAATGGTTTGTTCTAATAATGTGGCAATGTATGATACTCACCTTCCCAACACAATCGCTGAAGACAAAGCAGG